AGAATCGATCGTAGATATTTAATACGGAAAATTAAAAAACCTTTTATTGCGAGCGGTCCATACTCGACATTTTCGACGTTGGAGAAAAATCGATTCCAAATTGCCCCAAAGGGCTCATAGATGAAAGCCAGCATATACGTGTCACAGTTTTTCACTACATCGCTTTGTATCGCAAATAGCTTTAAACTATACGCTCGCTTGCAGTGAGCCTCGCGCGAGCTTCAGCTTCGTCGTTCCATAATCGTAATCGGGGTGTAATCTGAACGCTTTAAACATCCGTTATACACAAGTACGGCTCGCGATCTCGATCCTCCATCTCTCCCCGTATGTAGAGTAAATAGCAATAACAACGTCGACGCAGGATAATCAATTCCCGTAGTGTTGGTTTCCAATAAAATCGGTTTGCGAATACTTCCGCGCACAGAAAGGCTTAATTAATCCTCTCTGCTCATGAGGGCATCCATCTCTCTCGCTTTGGCAACAAACGGGTACGAGGATTGCTGCCGTTATCAGACAAGTGCGCTTTACAGCGCGCGCAGGGGAGTGTTTTAGTTTTCTAATATCTTTAGTCGCTATCAAAAGCTCGTTATGGAAAAGCTGCTTCTGAGCAGCTTTCCGGCGATTTTACGCTTATTTGTAATTTATCTGACAACTGCGCCGATCGCGAGTCGTGCCATTGCATCTCGCATGCGAAGGGAATTGCTGAATACGGCGCTAATAACATGGTTCGATCGTATATTGCTTGCCAAATCTTGTAGCAATCATGAATAAAAAAATTATTTTGAATTTTGAAGAACATAATCGAATTAAAGTTTAACGTAACTTAATATATTCATTTTCATCAATGTAGAGCAGTTTTAATTCTGGTTAACTTACTTTTTATTTTTTTCTAAGAATTAAATTATTAGGCTCAATTGAATAAAACAATAATAATATAGATAAAAAGAGCTAAGAACCAACGCTAGTTCTTAATTGCTAATATTTACTGTCTTTCAAATTTTTCAATGTTAATACATAAAGACGAATCCTACCTTACATAATAAGTCAAATATTAAAACAGATTTGAATATTACAAATTGAAGTTCTTCTCAATTTGCGGTGAATACAATTTTTATAAGTCGCTGTCATTTCTTCATTGATCAAATTATTTCAATGGATGTTCGATTGTAATATAATGATCAGGATTCTCGAACTGATACACATTTCTAATAAATTGACCTAATTTTAAAATTATTCAGTGTGAATTAATTACATGTATTATTCTTTATTTACTCTTACTAATCAATTATACATTAACAAAATATCATTTGAGCCTCTCAAAAATCAACTGATTAATTTATCTTTATAAATTTTTTTAATATGTAGTATCGAGCACGCAACTTATTTCATATTTTTCATTTTATTACACAGAATAGCTTAGCTCTCTCCTGTGGATATTATTTATTAATAGTTAAATAAATGAAATGTATTTTATACATTAAAATAAATGGAATGTATTTTATATATTATATATGCATGTATGTTTTTATTTTATTAATATTAGAGAAAATTTGTGTGAATGTTCGCGTTTATTTAAAGCATCGTTCAGATTGTATGACTTTTTTGTTATATCTCCTGTGTATGTTTTTGAATTTTTATGTCGATTGCAATAGTATTAATTAACCTATGTGTCATGCATTTATTTCGATTTTATTTAACTTTATTACTTTGTATCAATTTACATTGTTCAATAATTAACCTTTAATTTTAAATGTGTTCTATATGAACGATCGTTTTCATTAACTTAGAGGTATGCAATGAGAATGCATATTCAAAAGAGCCAATGAAATTATCAGGAGTACGCTTTGTAATCGCATCCGCATTCCTCCATTACATTCTCTTTAGCATCAAATTTAATTCCCATCGATCACATGACGTTCGCCCCAGATTGTTGCTCGTACACATAGATAGATAGATAGATAGATAGAGAGAGAGAGAGAGAGAGAGAGAGAGAAAGAGAGTATCTTGAAAATTTGCACTCACATCCAATTAATTTAAAGTTTATTCTTCGATCGAACAAAGTAAATAGAATCCTTAATTTCTTGAATTCTCACGCTTTGAAGTATCAAGCAGAAGCTTTAATCATCAAAATTTCCGAAAAAATGGAGATTCATGAAGCTGTATTTCAGGAAATGAGAATAAAAATCTTGCGAAGAGATCTTCCAGTTCTCGTCTCGATTCGCATTTCAATTCTTCCTCACGGATTCTTCCCTCGGATTTTCAGTTTCTCGATTTGTTATTCGTTGTTGTAGTGCGATCCTTACATCGTCAAGGATGCTTCCAGGATGTTCCAGGATTGGCCGATGCGGAACTCGAGAACACATCTACTGTGGAATTGAGCTCTATGTACACAGTAGCGATCTAACACCGGCAGTTTACTCACGCGTGTGTTCACCACTCTTAAACGTACCGTGGAGTGTAACATTGATGTGACTTAGTGATTTCCAAAGTTTTGCGGATATCACTTCGTTAGTTCCGTAAACTCTTATTAGTTTAAAAAAGTATATGATAAATTGCTATTTGCTTGATTCATGAGATTTGCTTTATTCTAGTATTATTTCCATGAATCTTTGAACAAAACATCATTTATTCAGAAGAGAATTCAGATGCAAGATCAATTTAGTTCAGAATAAATGGGTCAATCTCCAAACAAAGTTGGCATTCTCGATAATATAATGTAACGTACAGAGAGAGAGAGAGAGAGAAAGAGAGAGACAGAGGGAGAGAGACAAGGCGCGCTGTTGCAATTAACTGCCTGCGGGATGGCCACCCTTCTCTTGTCCTTAGCAGCAAGGCAAGCAGCGGCAACACGCCATTAGATTATGTATCAACAACGGTGTTGTAGTGCAGTTTATTACCGTGTTACATTGTTACTATGCACGAAGGCGAAGGATAGAGCGGAGATGCACATTGTATGCAACGCATCACGGCCCTTAGATTCTCAAAGGATCTGAAGATGTACAGCATTCCATCTTAAAGAGGCGAAAAATCGATCAACCATCTTAAACCGTAAAAATTCAAATATTAAAAAAATAAAAGTAACATAGTTCTCAAGGTATGAAAGATTCTAAAAAATGTCTCTTCTAAATTTTACTTCTTACAAAACTCTAAAAATCTGAAAGTTCGAAGAAACGGATAAATAAGTGATTAAATCATGAGGCCATTATTTTTTCATTTTAAAAATGGGATAACGTGGGAGTCATTAAAAACCAATCGTAAAGAGATTTATATGATTTATTGATTACTTATTTCCAGGGCACATTAGGCGACGGTCCCCCTTTTTCGCCTCGATGTAATATAATAGCGCGACGCCTATTTCGTATTTTACGGCGGCGGCGGTTTCCTCCCGTTGACGAGAAGAGAAGTGTATCAGCAGGTCATTAATTTCTCCTTAATATATAGGCACGTGTACAAAATCAGACGCTATTCAGAGAGACAGCGCCGTTCCCGATAGAGGCTTTTGATTTTACCGTCTTCAAGCTCTAATCAAAGAGCCGCAACGAAGTCAGAGACTCACTCGTCGCTTAACCCTTTTCTCCTTCCCCCTTCCACCCTCTTTCCATCTTCTTCTGTCTGTTATGAATTCTAGAGATAACGAAGTGAGGAATGAAACGGAACGCAACGTGAATGCAAGTCCCTTTATTTTACCTCTCTGGAAACTTTCCTCGCTGTGGGAATTCCAGTTCCCACTGTGTTACGATTACGAGAGAGCGAGGGCATTTCGATTTATCAGTGGAATACTCATGGCAATGAAATTGATCTACTTCAACGCGCAGCTCTTAACTCGCCCGTTGAGAAATTTTATCGAAACATAATTGGAAATGAACTTTCATGTGAATAAAGCGAATCTTTTTTTGCTCGTTGTTCCAAAGGACTTTGAGAATTATTCAATTTGAGACGTTTATTAAAAATCAGACCATTAAAACGTGACCTGATTTTTCATAAAATGAAGATCCTTATCTCTTGTGATTTTCAACAGACGTGAGCGTCGACACCGATGCTAGATATTGCTGTACTTGTTTTATTCCTCTTCAGAACTCGATAACGCAGAAAAATAGGGTGCAAGAACAAAGAGAGAACATAACGTTCTAGAGAGAGAACATAACGTTGTTAAAAAAAAGAAGAGAAAATGGAAAAGGGAATTACGTGGATATTTACGTGGTGCTTTCTGTTATCGAGTTCGAATTGCATTCCCAAGTTCGCAATTGCGAAGCTTTGAACGGGAGAGAGAACTCACTTTTTTTCTCACGGCTATGAGTCGACTATGACGCTTCTCTGTTCTCTTGTCGCGTTTAATTACGAAGACCCGCCGGCCAGCTCGTTATCCGCCAGCTTGTCATTATTATCGCGATCGCGAAAGTTCGGACGTGCAGGACGACGTATCGCCGACAAGTCGGAAATAAAAGCTCGTCTCTCGTTGAACAGTTCCATCGAGCAATTCCGCGACGCACAATCGACCTGATAATGGATTTTTAATTGAATTACCTATGGCTTCTGAATTCCAATTACACAACGATTACACTAACGCATCTGAATTAATTGTTAAATCGTTCCGTCTCTCTGGGCTTTCACAGACCGTTGAGTTATAGCTCTTTCGATCCTTGAATTGTTACACTAGTTGCACGTGTCTTCGAACTTGTCAACTTGTAAACCTGCGGAACTTTCATTCTGAAATCTCGAACTGTGTTGAATTCTTTTAAAGTCTTTCCTTCGAAGTGATTTCTTTTCCACTTTGAATCTCGTATGCATCCTGAAACGAGCTTCTAGATTCTGTATTTATCTTTTTATAACGAATTATAATTGTGCTTGTGACTGTGCTTAATTTTAAAAATTAATTTCTGAAATTCTTCACGTGCGCATGAAACATATTAATTGTACATATTTACCTCCGAGGATGATTTTCCAATTCGAAAAAAATCATTCGACAACTGACAATTTAATTTCCACGGCGATCCTTTCAGTATGTCGCCGCGCAACGGCTCCTGCGTGGCGGAAGTGAGTTCCGTGAGGAGCCTCTCGTCGGACGATGTTTCGGGGACCAAAGCGAACCGGAAGAAGTCGTGCTGGGCCCGCGCGACCGATCCGGCCCATCGTCGCGGTCGGCGGATCCAACTGCTGCAAATGCTGGTGCTACCCTTTATACCAATCCTCGCTCTGATCGTGCAGACCGCAAATACTCTCCACGACATTCTGATCTACCGTCAAGAGGTGTCCGACATAGAGACGCAGGTGAGCGAATCAAGTTGCCCTTCGAGAATCGCTAATTAAGACGAGAAGTATCGAGCGATTATAGTAACCGTTTCTATTTCTTAGATTAATATTAAATTTTTTGTATAAAAAATGCAGTCTTGGCTATAAGTATGAAATACCCTCAATTTATTGCATTTTCTTGAAAAAGACGCACTGAGAAGAATGTCTGGTTGAAAATGGACGAACCAGAAAATTCTAATTATATCAATTAGAGAGAGAATTCCGGTTAACTAGAATTTTAGTAGATTTAACCAATTTAAGAAAATTCATCCATCTTTAAGTAGAATTTTAGATAATCCAACCAGACATTTTTTCAGTACGATAATAAAAGCCGAAGGAAAATTAACAGAATATTAAAATTGCTAAAAAATAATATTATTTTGCGATGAAATTAATTCTTAATTTATTTTTCATTAGATATAGAATGTTTATGTCTAAATTTGTGAGAGTATTTTATATCTATGATCAAGATTGTAGAATTCTGAAATTTCTTGACTTTCCTATAATTATATCCTTTATATTGATGAAATATCTGATTTTTCATCATTTTCTTTATTTTCAGTTTATTTGCTTGGTCCTTTTAGTGAGTAAGAAACGTTGGTATTTTCAGTATCAATCGCCTTTACGTTTCGATATGACGACTGAAATCGCACAAGATCGATGGTACATCCCTCTTTGCTTTTTATAGACAATTTTTGTTCTTTACTTTAACGTATAATTTACGAAGTGATTGCGCTATCTATCGGCTCAGAAGTTCCTCCAAGAGTTCATATATTAAAGCAATTTAGAAACAGTTCTGCAGCATCTCCCTCATATATATTCTATGTGAGTTTCGCGGAAATTCCAGTTTTACAAATTACTAGTTCAGCGTTGTCTGAAGTAACGGGCGAAAAGTTCCACGTGCCCTCCTGCCCGCTCACGTTGCGCCCTGATAATTATGTAAAGAGCGCAATTAGGCTGGGCTGGTATAATTCACCACTGGTGATCGATCGACGGCGACGGTTCGTTTGAGGATAACAAGAGAATGAACAAATACACCGCACCTACGCGCTTCAACGTCTGCGAATAGCAGCGACATAATCGAGGCGTTTCTGCTTGAAGTACAAGCCTCACGACTACAATTCTTTCTTTACTTTAATTTGAAGAGGTAAAAGGAAGGTATATGTCTAATTTTACGATCCAATATAAGAAGATGAAATTAATTAGTTCAAGCCGACAGCAATAAGTCCCATTTTCAAATCCCTTTTTCAATTAATTCTAAGAAAAGATCTAAAAGGAGAAATTTGTTGTCACGTTATAATTAAGGACCCGATAATAATATTGGTTTTATGATATAATATAAAATCTAATATAAGAATGTAAAATTAATTAATTAGAGCCAACAAGAATGTCTCATTTTCAAATTCTTTTCTCAACTCTAAGGGAAGATCTAAAAAGAAAAATTTATTGTTACCTTATAATCATAAGGATGCGATAATAATGTATAAAAGTAACGGGGAAGAAATTTCAATAATGTGCTCTGCTAAAAGCATGTTAAAATTTAACAGTAATTTATAGCGAGGAAGCAAATAAGCGACTTCGCTCGTTCGCTTTGCGAGAAACGCAAGCTTGCACGAGCTTTGATCGTGGCATGCGGTCGCAATTTCGTGATCAAGTGATAGAGTATCGGTTCATCGTTCATCAGCTCTCATAGAGTTACGGATGGCTACAGCGACGAACGATTTCGCTCTTCCTCTCTGTGGAGAGAGGAATCCAGGGCTAGGGGCTGTTGTTAATGAAAACGTCGGACACTCGTTGGAAATCGCATTCGATTCGATTTCCGATTCGAGCGACGGTGTCCGGCACGGCACAAGAAATTACGTTACAGCCGTTCTCGCGCGACGAGCTGGCTATTTTTATTTTATTCTCTCACGCACGTTCGGATTATCGACTCGCATATACACGCCGCCATCGTCGCCCTTTTACTACTTCGAGGCGAGATGCGCTTGCAAGGGATGATGAAATAAAATAAGAAGAGAGCGAGATGGGGGGGACAATGACGTAACTGATGTTTAGTCGGCCATCGCAGGGAAAACACAACTGAGAATAGCAAATTTTAAATTTATAAAATTTTCTTTGATAAGCACTGAAAAACGATACTTTATTTTATTCTTAATAAAACAGAAATACTATGATTCAAAAAATTCTTTATATTTTATTATTCTTACGAATATATTTCAATTGTCATTTACGGCCAGGTTTATTAAATTTAAGATATTAAAGTTAAATTTCTCATTGAATTTATTAGATTTTTCTAAACAAAATAAATTCCGTCTGTGAAAAATATTTTTATATCTATAATTAGTTAAATATAAACGTATGTACGCTAATTGATTTTAAGATACCAAATAATTTCACGCTCGTTTTCTTAAATTTATGTCGATTTTAACCTCATTAGGATAGTACATTAAGCAGCAAGTGAATTTTGATCAATCATAATACCATGTGAGCCATTGTCTTAATTGTAAATTATTCGTGGCGCTCTTCCTTCGTGGAGAGAAAATTTCCATTGCTCTGTCTAATCACCTTGTCCACAAGGATATTAGACACGACTCTCCTAGGAGCGAAGGGTCGATTAAATCGAAATTCATCGCAATGTTGGCTGCAGGAACAACGGTCTTCGATCTCGAGTTTGTTTGACAAACGTCGCAAGAATGGTCGCCATTGTCGGTGATGTCGGATATACGTATGTTTGCGATCGTATTCGCGTTTCTGTATAACCGACGAGCGTTTCGCATACCTATCGACGCACCTCGCTCTCTGCGACACACCCCCTATAATTCTACCCTGCATAAGAAGCATTGGAAATTCTTCTTTCAGCTCGAACCAGATTTAAAAAAACTCCTGGGCATTTTTTTTTTAATTTTCGTAACACTACAGATTTATTAATTTTCGTAACATAAAATTTTGCTGCGAATATTATTTAAATTGATAATGAGAATTTAACGTTACAAATTATTTTTTATCAATCATTACGTACATCTTTGTGATGAGAAGCTAAATGATAACAGAACGGATGAGTACATTATAGAGAATGAAAATCTGATGCCGGAGGCTGGAGTTCGGAATGACAGAACAATCACCAGAAAATTATGGAAAAGAAACATCGAGACTTTTGTTGAATCAGATATTTTTTGTGGAACTAAGAAATTTAAAAGAAAACTGAAAAGAAAATTGAAAAGATGTAATTTTATAAAGAGGATATCTGTTATGACAGGATTTTTTTCCAAACGAGGAGAGCTGCATATTTATTTAACACTTAAAACGCCATACGGGAACAATACACTGCGGTATGATATACCCATTGAAATCAATCGCTTATAACTTTCATAAAAATGAACATATATATTGTAAAAATAAATTTTCTTTAACATCAGACATTAAAACAGAATATAACGATACTAAGCAAACATATACATATATATCTTCATAAAAAATATCTTCAATAAAAAAGTTGTAATGGAAAGAGCATTGAAAAAACATTGGAAAAAGAAAGCCATCGTTTAAAAATTAAGAATAAGTAAGATCGAGAAACCTTAAAAATCAGAAACGGTTGCAAGAATCTTCAAGAATTCATATATAAGTGTTTCTATAAAAATTGTGAGTTTTAAGTTGGACGCAGCGATTATTAAAATCAGCGTATTACGAACTACTGCGGAGTATATACGTTCGTTCTGGCTTTAGTCTGATCCTTACAGTAACTTTGCTGAGACCTCGTCGGAGCAATGAGGATAAGCAGGACGACCTCTGACCCGGCTTGAGAAGCAGGGATGCCAGGCTGATCTGGCTTAAAAAGTTCGTGGCACGCTAGCAGAGCCGCGGATTATTCTGTGGTATACGAGCGCTTTATTGACAAAGAGCAAGTTGGCAAAGAACTTTCTGTTATAGTTCGTGAGCTTACGGAGGTGCTAGGTCTTCGACGAAAGATCCTCGCTTGATGAAAGAGAATCCTTACTTCTCTGGCGAAAGTTTTCGTTCCAAAGGGATAGGAAAAATCGACGGTGAAACGTCAACGATGTTTCGGCGGAATACTTAATTGCGATTGCTGTGCAATTTGCAACCCCGCTAATAATTATCTCGGGTCGTAAAATGATTTATCACCGGCATTAATACAATATCGCTCGTCGCCGTGAGCCGTGAGATTGAAATGAAAACATAGACTCGCGCTTAGAGACTGATGAGATTTCTAACGCGATTAACAGGTGAAAATTTGTAAGGGATCCTCGTGAGCAGAGATTTACGATACTCAAGTTTCTGTCCAGTCGAAAAACATCTGCTCAGAAATCTAACGATTTAGAATCGAGGATTATTAAAGACGTTTAAAGATCGAGATTTCTACACCGACGAATCTCCATGTAACGGAATATCCATCTATGGCGTAAAACAAGAAATGAGACAGCATGTAGGATGATCTATTTTTCGAATCCACGAGTAGCAAATAAGAGTCGAGAGAAAGCTTCACGTGTGCCGGTAGAAGACATATTTTCAGTTAAGATGAGACGATCGCGAGTCCCAAAAGTGATAGCGACACTTTCCAGACACTCGGGACTTAAAGTGGTAACTGAATGTTCTGGTAATACTCGGTCACTCGAGACCCTCAACTTGGTCCTTTCGTGCCTTACAATTAACTCTGTCTTCTAACGGAAGTTCCGCGAGAGCAAACGCCGGACCATTATCTCGATGAAGGCGACTATCTTCTTCGTATAGAAGTATCCAACGCAGGAAGTATCGGATCAGCCGGACTTACGAAATACTTTCTGAACTGATAGAAAAGTTCTTAAGTCTTTAGAGATGGCATCGTCCATTATAAAAGAAAAAACAATTTTTTTATTGATTTTGCTCAAAAATGTCTTGTAAGTAAAGAATATATCGATGTATAGCCTTTTTTGCGGATACTATATCCAGTGTCCAATGCTACATACATTTCCATCTTCAGTTCTTAAGTATAACTAATCTGCACAGATCCCAAATTTATCTTGAATTTATCCCAAATTTAATTTTAAAATGAACGTTGCAACACTCGTCCCTAGAGTGTTAAAAAGAATTCTCTTCCAAGTATTTCTTCATAAAAATTAAGGTTCTATGATGATAGGTGCGCTATTTTTTATATTTTCGATGCATATTCAATGATAATTGCAGGTGACGATAGCGACGGATCTAGGCAAAATGGTCACCAGGATGCAGCTGGAGAGATCCGAAGTGGCTTTTTTCATCTACACTAGCGGCAACACGTTGAGGTACTAGCTATTTTTCCAGTTTCCATCGATGAATAACTTGTATTTTCGTTGAAAACAAAATATGATAATTCTGATTTGTTTTCTGTCGCTTGCCAACATCAGTCGCGTTTGGTTAAATAATAATTTTATTTCCTACAATTTAATTTCCTTTTCAGTTCGTTTGTCTTCGCATTTCTGATACGCCTCGTGTAATTATCGCTCGAACGGAACGTTCACAAGTCTCATTGATCCGACCACGTGATCGTGCCACAGCGACGAAATGCGAAATCTCTTCCTCGAACGAGAGCGCGAGGAAATGTTTTCCATTGCATTTCGCGTGATGAGAACGAACGGCTTTCTCGAGTTTCGCAATTGAGACAAGACGAGGAAATGCGACACGTTTCTGCAAAAACAAAAGCCTCGGGGAATACTGAAGTAGTCGCGACAATCGTTCGAAAAGCTCTGTGAATTGACTAAAAACAATACTGCTCGATGCGCTGTTTGATTTGGAATATTTTTATAACGTACACTCCGATCTCCTGGCAGATTTTTTTTCTGCAGGGCTTTTGGGCTGTCGGCACTTTTTGCGCAAACTCATCCAAAAAGACGATCAAAATTTTTAGGAATATATTTCAGAAATGCGAATAAAAAATATTCAATTAATCAGTATAATTCATATTAATTTTAACGTATATAAAAAACAAAGATGATCCTTTTTATAAAATAGTCTTGGCTGTAAAAAAGAGTATAAAACACTCCCACAAATTGACGTAAACGTTCCATTTAAACGTTCCATATCTATCAAAAAATAAATTTAAAAATATTTTTATTAAAAAATAATATTTATTTTTATTGAAAATTTCATTTTGTTAGTCTCTCCTTTGGCTTTTATTGCCGCTTTTTCCAAGAAAATGCAATAAATCGAGGATTACATACTTATGGCCAAGGTAATTAATTAATTGTTGTAATTAATCAATTACAACAATTAATTAGTTTAATTACAACAAGTAATTAGTTTAAAATTGTTTTATTTTTTTCTCTTCGTGATTAATTACCTCATGATTAATAACAATATAACGTACGTCATTAATAATCTAATAATATAACAATATATGCGGTTTTCTGCAGTGTGTTATTTTTATGTGCTTTCAACGTACGGTCACTTCGTTTGATACGCTTAGGAAACTTCGTCCCAATGAGAATTACATCTTCCTCCCTAATTCACTTTACCCTATGCTCGGCAACTAGGTCGAACCTGACGCAGAGATTTGCCATAACCGACCAGGATCTCCATAATATGAGCACGTGGCCGCTGGTATCTGTACCCAGGGACGAAAGCAAGACGCAAACGTACGACGTGGTGAGCAAGGAGGCCTTCCAGGCAAGCCTGGGGGACTTCAGGTAAATCGAATCGATCCGTGCGAAGGTCGTCATCCGCCACAAAGGCGGCTAACAACCGTGAAATCGCGTCCCGCACAAAATTCTGACCTTAGCTCGTTGGGTCAGCCGACCGTCTCGCTTGGTTGAGTCTCGATCAATTAGGGGCAGACACACGGAGGAGACAAGTGAAAATTGTAGCTAGAAGTTTAACGACAAAGTCCGTAACAATTGGATATTAGAAACTTCTTGCGGTCTATCCGCAATTTTTAACTTCGTTAAAAAGATTGTGCTCTAAATTTAATCGAGCGTTGCAAATTAAAATTTATTTAATATCGTAGAAACTCAGTAGACACATCGCAATTATACATAGCGCAGTTCTTAAACCGGGAATAATGACGTAATTTTTTTTTAAATCTCTAGGACATTTTTACACTCTAATTAAAATTACTATTATTAAAAACATATTATATGTTATTGATTGTTTCCGGATTTATTAGGATTTGAGAACATTCTAAATGTGTGGATTTAATCAGAATTTTTTGAAAAAAGTGAATAAAAACCAAACAAATATTTAAACAGAACAAGCACGTTAAGTAGTTTATTATTACGACAGTATTTTTAAAAAATAAATTTTATTTAATATATCGCTTTTTAATTGTGAACTTTCGATGGAATTGCTTATTTAAAAGTTCGTAAAGAATAGCTGTTAAAAAAGAAAGAAAATATATTAAACAATATCCATACAAAACGATATTTTTCAACAATTTAATTTTTGCCGCTGGGCAAATTGTTGTAAAAATACTTCAGGTATTTCCAGATTATTTCTAGATTAAAGAAACAGGTGGAAAAAAAAGGAAGTAAGGAATAAAATGCCGTTTTGTTCACGGTGTCGGCACGTATACCTCGTGCGCGGGAATTGAATTTCTCATGGGCGGGCAATCTTTATCTAATTAACTTAAGAGCCCCCCCTCACGCACACGTGAGTACACTTCGTAATAATTATACTGCACCGGCGTGGGAGGCAGCAACACGACGCAGCGTAATTATTAAGACAAATTGCGACTCTCCAGCGTAAGCGGGTGGTATCGCTTTGAGCGTCGGTAACCGACAGTTAATTCCCATGTTGGCTTTTACCCCTTTTCCGCGCGCGAGCACGACCACTGAACCACCCGCTGGATGGAAAGTTACGACGGAAGCTCCAAGCCGTTCCCTCGAGCCCTCGTCCCGACACTTGTTGAATTTCCATTCAGAGTACGAGTGGGGAATTCTCCTCTCTTTCGCTATCCCTCCCTTTCTCTTGCTTGGGCCTGTGTTCCACTAGCAAATACTCACATAGATCATACCTCGCGAACGGGAGTTCTTGATATCTAGGAGTCGATTGTGTATCTTGAAATGAGATGAAACTTACAAAAGTAAACAAATTCACTAAGACTGGGTTGTTCCATCTTTTGGAAACTTTAGCTCACTGTCTTACTTTGTTACTCTCTTATGCTCTTACTCTTTTATTCTTTTGTTTATCCAATAGGTAAATTATCACATAGTTTATTTGAAACTGGAACAACCGGCCTTAAGTGTTGACTAATGAAATTAGAAATATTCTAGTGAATTTGCTCACTTTTGTAATTTTCACCTCCTTTTAAGATGCACAATCAACTCCTTGATCGTAAACTTAAAAATATATTAAGCTGGTAAAAGTGAAGGTTCCAGGAAAAGCTGATTCTCTTAATATTTAATTTTCTTCTAATATTAATTAAAAGAAATTAAATTAATCTACTATCTCAACTGAGTATGCAATATATAATACATACATGAAAAGAACGATTTTGCGTATGTATCTAAAAATTTAACTAGATACAAATTTAAAAATAATTTTGTTAAACTACTAAATAAAATAATTGTGTATGACGATCAAGCATATAACAAGCAACGCTGCAAAAAATTTTAGTATTGTAGTAATCACAGCTTGGACATCCTACATAATTATTTTAATGGTCTAACAAAATTATTTTCAGATCTATATCTAGCTAAATTTAAATATTTTAGCAAAACCATTCTTTCTTTGTACATTCTAAAAGGGGAAAAGATCATATAAATATTTCGTGAAGAAACATCTTTAAAACGTGAATGAATGTATAACGAAAATATTGATTTTGTAAGAAAACTTTCGACATTAGAAATTATAGTGAAATTATACTGAAGTAAATGAGCAAATTATATGTGAATGTTATTATAGCAAAATTATAACAGTATTATAACAAAATTATTTAATTACCTACATTAATTTATTCTATTATACTAAAATATTATAATAAATAATAAGTTTGAACTAACAATAAGTAATTTCATAGTAAATTCTAAAGCTTATCGCGACACTGCATCGGCTCTGTAAAAGATCTTCGAAATTTTTTTTGTTTTACTCACTTTATTTTCTATATGTATAACGTACGAACACAAAAGTATTGAAATTTCTGGACGTAGATAGCGACACGATTCGATAATAGAACACAGCATATCGACAAGCGATATTTCATCGTTATTACTAGACGCGTGTCGCATAGGGAGAGACCACCCCGTAGCAGCGGAATGAGAAAGGGATTGGTATATCAAATGGTACATTTTGAACATGTAAGATAGCGCATGGTGATACGACAAGGCCGTCGTGGTCGTATTTTCTCACGTGGAAATAGGACGGAGCGGAAAGGAAGACGTCCATTCCTCGATATATCGATAAAAGGAAAGAGAAACGAGTGAGATATAATATTTCCTATTGACTCCATAAAAGAAAACGACGATATGTAAAAATACGGAGTTTTTTTATGCCAGCTGCGTGAAGTACAGCGACTTTTCTTTCAAACCGACGGCGAGACCGCTTCAATATTTTACGCAAAAATGTACACCCCTTTTTTTTATTTCCCGTTACGGCAGGTGGAGTGGGAGTATCGTTGACAAAAAAAAAAACCGGAGCTTTTAACGAGGCAAGGTTGCCGATGCGGCAGATTGTGTGGCGAGGAAAAAAATTCATTATTTTTAATTAGGGGCTTAAGGGCTTTAATTAGAATAAAGCGACATCGCGTTTTCAACTGATAATGTAACTAGCAATCTCTTCGTGAAAATATCGGTGCGATTGCATTGACGAGCGAAACGTTGGAGCTTTCAGGATTGCGGAGGTGTATGGCAAAAGGTTTCGCTTTGACGTTTGAAAAGTGAGGTCTTTTGACGATGAAAAATTCTCGGAAAATCTCTCGACGGTCTGAGTTTAATATTTCGGTGGCATTTAAACGACTATACTTAAATGTGACAAAAATGTGATGAATCTTTGAAGCAGTACCTCGAAATTTAGAAAAAAAAATCATTACAAAACCATTAAGTGTATTAAATTATTTAAATATTATATATATTTTGCCATTAATATAAAAAAAATGAATGGAGAAATTAATATTAACATTTATTATAAAATTAATATTTCAATTGAAAATTTGTAATCTTTCTTATTCAAATTTCAAAAAAGAAATTATCGACAAAAAATATAAAGGTGTTATGTTTAAAAAGTCTTATCCCTTTTCTGTCTTTTGCGTAAAAGAATCAACAAACAAAAGTTTTTCAATTAAAACGATTAGAGAAATCGATATAAAAACTTTAATTCAAAAATTGTTTAATTCGGTATTTCGCATTTCAAATCATTAACAAAAAATATCATTAACAAAGATATATTGTGTCTTATATATATTGTCAATATATTGTGTCTTAAGTCTTATTGTTCTTCTATTTTTTGCGTTAAAGAATCAACGAACAAAAGTTTCTCAATTAAAAAATTTGTTGGTCCGTTGACTTCTCAATTTAAGATTAAAAAATTCCGTCGCGCGTGGCTGGCGCACTTTTACGGTCGCTTTGACAGAACGATAGTGCCCGACGATTTAATTAACGTAATTTTGACGCTGAACGACGGGGTAATTTAATCGGAAACGCTCTCGTACACATCTCTCGATTAATCCTTTTCTCCTGTCGTCTAATTATATGTGTAGCGGAGGGTCAAAAGGCGTGGTGGAGACGAGCGAGCGCCGTACATACGCTTTTATAATAGTCCCCTGGCATGTTGCATTCGACTTGTCGCATCGATCGACGATAAAAATATTTAACCCTCATCCCCTTGCGTCTCCATGGCCGAGCGGACCTCGCAAAATTGAATGCAAATGCCCCTGACGATCTTTTCAACGCCACTGGCGAATGTTTTCTAGGAATACATCGAGAATATATTGTCAAACATTATTACGAAATTTGATTCTTGTTAGCTTTACAGACTCGTAAAAATAAAATCGAGAAAGAAGTCCTTTCTCGCCAACTAAATCTCCGAAACTTTGATTAATTACGCAATAATTGCGTCGCGTGGACTTTCTTTGATCGATTACGAAACGCGTTACGCAAACGAGAAAAATAATGGTCTCTTTCTGTTTTCTATTCTTTTTCTTTTCGTAGGACGGATCGTTCTTTCACTTTATTCCTGAGTGAGTTCCACTTTACATATACGGGCACACTGGAATCGAGCCGATTTACCGATTCCAATGTGTCGTGGTCGAATGTTTATAAAAGGCTCGTTTTTCATTCTGACGGAGCGAAAACGGTGAGTGCAAACCTCAGCCTGTCATGTACGTTCGATAAATCGATAGAGCGATAAACTATCGATATGGAAAAGCTGATTGCGCGCATACGGTTGCCAACGGGTATGAAGACACAGAATATTTTGTACGAGACCGTCCGCGCTCTCTTTTTTCCTCTCTCTTTTATCTATTAGCACTCTTTTCACTACGTTGAAACTACAATTGGAACTCGCTTTCCAACAACATCATGGAATCCGAAATATTCGCGTTTAAACGAGCACTCTTCAATCATCTTCAACGACACGAGACATACTAATTTCCAAGGGGGTAACCACTAGCTGAAATATTGTCCCACAAATTACATAATTTCATATGATTTCATCTGACTACAAATCATTTTTTTCACTATATATAAAGTCATTTGATAAAATATACGACTTCATTCAATATCATACAATGATTTCTCGTGGTTGCATATGTATTTTATCGGATTATACATAGAGATTTCGTATGAATTTTATAATGATTTCGAGGACTCTGTTCCACAATTACATTAAGTGGTTACCCCCTCTCTAATTTTTATTTTTATTTTTCCTTTTTTTCTTAATTTTATTTTAATTTTATTCTTCTCATTCGCGTCCGTCTTTAACTTTGTAATATTTAGTTTATTTTCGTATTTTATTTGTATTATATTACTTTTATTATTTGTACAGCTTTGTTCTTACACTTTTCCTTTATATTTACGTTCTTAGAGGGCTTGTTCTGAAATAATAATAAACATCTATTTATTTTTCCTTTTTTTCTTTGTCTCTCCCTTTTCTAGTAATACAATGTGCCAATCGTAACTTGTGCCTCGGAATTGTGCGACGGAAACTTCAATTTCGACTTTGCTTTATTGTGTAGCATAATTATGAAATACCTCAACCGGATCGATTGAAAATATGAATACGCCGTTATCGAGCATCGCGGTTTACCAGTAGAAATGCGAAAGGTCACAATGCGGAGATGAAAACATTTTTCGAAATAATTAGAGCATCCCTCATCGCCAGTTGGTTTCGATAAGCGGAATTTAGCGCGTTTATATCCCCTTTCGACAAGATAATTTTGCGAAAGCAGGCGTGAAACGATCAAGATCAGTCTGCTATTTTCAGATAAAGGTACTGGAAAATTATAAAAGGCCGAATTCTTGCTAATCCTGCAAATACAATAAAATAGTAAGTCTTAAGGGGATAGTAAGACCTACACACATACGATTTATGTACCATTAACACATCACTACACATTACTATATCAATATCACACGCAAATATACGTACACAAATTCTGTAACTGAACTTTTATATTAGGTATCTAAGCTTAATTCTTAAGAACTCAATTGTTTATTCATGTAATCCCTATGGTCCAAACTTCAAATCAAGATTATTTTATAAGTACCTATATACAAAACTTTTATAAAAAGCAAATATTGTTACAAATCAATGTCAAAAGCCGATAAAAAACTATAACTTTCCAACTTTTTTTTATTTTTGGCATAAAATCAACTAGTTTGAACTACAATGTCATTTATACTTTAATCGTGGAAAAGAATTTTTAAGTCTGTAAAGGCAAATAGAGAAATACTTATTTGAAAATAATTGATAAAATATAGACAACTTTAGGATCTTCTTAAATAGAAATAACGTATCTTATTCATAAGAGAAATTTTCGCATCGGCATTGAGGAATAATATGTATCTTCGCGGATCGAATAGGGAGGAATGGAAGCAGAAATAAGAAGGACCCGCGGCGGTTATCATACGACCACGCACATGGAAAACAGTTACGGCACATTTGTGTCATCCCTCGATACGACCGATAGATAACAAGACACTAACAATCCTTCGGTTTTCTCGGTGAAGCCTGCGGGAAAAGGGCGGAGATTCTGCGAGGCGATCGATACGGAAAGCCGTAACGGATTCCTGCGGACTTCTTTCTTATTTTCGCATTGCTTATGGAATTTTTATCTTATGACAGTTAAGAGAGACCTTCGTCTGAGATATGCTGCATTCATTCGTTCAATAACGGAGCACTCAGTTTCTCCCCCCCCCTCTCTCTTGAATATTTGATTCTGATATATAAAGATACACACATTTATCGATTTCTTTGTGTGTTATAATTATATACTACTTCCGTTATTATTAACTAATTCCGTTATTATTTTACGTACTCCTTTAGCATTCTTAAGAAATTTAATCACCGGATAAAGTATTTTTCTCATCTTTATAGAGATCTCTCACCTTTCGCAGACTCCATACTTCTCATCCCATTCGCTGCCAGAGCAGTATCACCGATACATCAGTCATCTCATTTATGTTTCCTTTTTCTTACTATCATTCGCGGTTTACGGTCCTTTGCTCAATGCTCTTAGAAGATGTTATTCCGGAGTGCGCAATAAAGCATAAAGCTTTTTTTTTATCCCACTCTGTATCTCGTCTTTCCTCCCTTCGGCAAGTATCCGCTCGCTTTCTTCTTCGGCTCCTCTTCGGTTCTCCGTCTCTTTCTTCTCAACACGCTCGTTTACAATTGAATATATCGACAATTGAATTTGTTTAACCGTCTACTCGCTGCGTTATTACTCGTGTGCGCTTCTGTCATGTCACGCTTGCGCTGCAATTATTCTTATGCATCCTCCTTCTTTGCACACAGAAGTAGTCAATCTCAGAAGAATGCAATAAAGCTGTCTATCTGTCCTTACAATAAAGTTGTCTGTCTTTCTCTCTGTACTATTGCTCCTCTTACTTTCGTACTTCTCGTTCGTTCTCTTTCTCTCTCTCTCTCTCCCCCCTCCTCCTCCTCTTTGTCTCTGTTGCTTCTTCTCTCTCACGTTCTCTCTATGAGCAATGGAAGAGGTCGTCACACATGAGCGCGCGAGCGCCCATTTGGAGCAATAAACAGTATTTTTAGACTCTTGTCTTTCTCTCTCTCCCCTGCTGACTCTGACTTTCTCTCTTTTCATACATCTTCTCCGCCTCTCCCCGTTTCTCTCTCTCTCTCTCTCTCTTTCAATTTATCTGTTTCTCCCTTTTCCTTCCTCTCGTCATGTGTTCACGAGTAAATCTCGCCTCGTCGACATGCACGCCGATCAAACCCTTCGCAATAAATGCGAAGGTCTACGCCGCCGATGTCATTATCGACCGACATCCCGCCACGTGCAAATCGTCCAAGGCAGCTCACACCTGTCCGAAGGATCGCACGCGGTCTTTTTTTAGATCGTCACCTCTCGAACGGAGGCGAAATCGTCTCCAGACGAAGGTGATAAGCAAAAAGGCTTCGCGATGAATATTGAAATCGAGATATAAGTAAAGGTTGCTCGTCGTTCGTTAAAAACGTATGATTCTATATACAATTACCAATATCTTCCTTTTATTTCTTTGTAGTTCGCAAAAATTCTCTGAAAAGAAGTTGCAGAGAAGGAAGCAGTTAAAAGGAAGCAGACGAATGTTAAGCTTCAAATAATTTCGAGTGTAATATTCGAGCCTTGTAAGAAGATACCATAATCAATCAGATCATTCCGCACGCGATGTAATTATATAATTATATTCGTATTGCACTACGTATTAACTACGTTAGTAATAGCTTGCCTCCACAATGAGATCGATATTTCAAGAGATTATCTTTTTACATATATAGGGGAGACTGGGGGGAATTGTGCAAACATCTAAGAGAAAAGTTAAATAAAACAGACGAATATTTGTCAATTTTTAAAACCAATATATTTTTTAATGGAAATTTTTATAATTTTTATAATGATAAATAATTATCGGTTTTATTTAACTTCTCTCTTAGTGTTCGTTCCTTCGCCCACATTCTCCCCTACATAAAATCATCAAAAACGTGTACCTGATATTATTTATTTTAAACAGTGTGTTCTACGATCACGTGATAATATAACACTACACTGAGAAAAAATTTCTGGTTGATAATGAATGAACCAGAAGATTCTGATCATTCAAAATTCTGATTATATCTCAATTAGAATTATAATGGATTCAACCAGGAAATTCTGATTTGTTTATTTTCAATAAGAATTCCAATTAATGCAACCAGACTCTTTTTCCAATATATAATCGTATATCAGACTATCATTAGATGCGAGAAACGAGATATTATGACTAATATATTATAATAATATCGTTCGCGTTTATCTTACGTTAGTAATTCTTCCACTTTCTCTTAATTGCATTTTATATACATTTGAGAGATAGCTGATGCACGCGACAATTGAGTTGAACGCAAAGTTTATTTGTTTTCCGCAGGCAAAAGATAAGTTCAGAAGAGAGCAGCATTTCTGAGGTGATGGCGTGGTACACAAAAGTGAACGCCGCTATGCTGGCCCACCTGACTAATCAGATTAAGGAGACGGATAACAGCGGGGTGTGGAGGTAACGCGTATTATTATCGTAATATCCTCCTGAAAGATTGGAAAACAACGGAGACAATAAAAGCTGGAGCACAGATCATTGCATAACGCATAATGCATAAAGCATAAGAAAATCAACAAATCAGAGTCTTGTCGTGGAAAGGAAGAACATGAAGGACTTTGATTGATTCATTTTCTTATGCATTATGCGTTATACATTATGCAAGAATCTGTGCTACCGCTTAATTCTGGATATCTTGATAGAAAAACATGAAAATTCGTACGAATACACTTTTCCGTTTTAGGTATCTAATAGCCTTCAAGAATCTCCTGCGGAGCATCGAGAGCCTCGGTATAGCCTCGGTGGAGGGAATCAATTACTTCGGCCGAGGTCTCCTTTCCGGTGACAACTACATCAATTACGTTCGCCACGAAGCGCTGGGCCATGACCTTCTGAACGCCGCCCTGACATATGTGCCCTCCCTGAAGAAGTTTTACAACGAACTCACGCGCACGATGCCCGAGTACGACAAGATCAAGGCAAGGTAAAACGTTTCTCGCGCTTCATCTCCGCGTCCCCTGATCGGTATCGCGCGGAAAAGTCTCATGAAAAAAGTTACTGGCCTCGTTCATATCTTTCGTAATATATCTAGACGGAGGGGAAAAAAATTGCTCGAACATCTTGCGATATAATAAGAAAATAGAATTTGTTCTTGACACTTCGGCACGACTTGCCGAAAGATTTAAAATTTTGCTGGATACAGATCTGAAAAAAATTTTGTTGGAAACTCAAAAAGTAAAAAGTGATGACTATTGTAAAAAATTTGGATATTCCAGCGACCAGTTTGACTTTGATGGTTCAACAAAATTTATTATATTTTCAGATTTGTATCTAGTAAAATTTTAGAGCTTTTGGTAAAATTTTTATACGAGGATGTTCGATGCACGATGATTAAAAGATAAAAGACGGATACATCGTACTTTAATTTTAATTTTGAAAAATTGAACATACATTTTACGTGAGCGTACTTGTAAATTATTCTCTGTATTCTCGTGAGAAAATGTAGATTACCTGGTAATTTGATAATTTAGAGGAAGTGTTTCGTGAAAGCCCTTTTATGAGCGTCGACAGCGTAACAGGCCGATGATAAATTATGACAATAAGAGTGGGCGGACAGGACGAACGTTTTACATTCTCTCCTCAGACGGAACGAGATCCTACGGAATCAAAAGAGGGATCAGTCGAGCGTAGACGACGCAATCGCTTACTTCGATTCAATGGCCACTTACATCGACGAACTGCGTAAGCTGCAGCGGGAACTGCGTCACATGATAAGGTAGCGAATCTTCATAATGGAATTGTCTCTTTGTCTAAATCCCTCTTGACAAGATTCCTGAAACGGAAGACCCATCTGGATCTATCAGACATCGGATATTCGCTAATTGCTATCGTTATTAGGAAAATATCGATCTCTTGTTCCGCGGAATAGGATAATTTCCAAGAGAAACCTCTCTTCTTAAAAATTACTTAACGCGCGATTAATCATGATTTATTTCGAAGGCGAAGAATATCTAACAATTAGTCACACATGAATAAATTTACTTAATTGAGCTTTATAATATATTACAGTATGTTAAATCAATGTTCTAATAACAAATTTTCTTAATTTTTTATTTCTGTCGATCGTCAGTAAAATTTAGTAATTCCGCTAAGTCTGGTATTTCAATCAAAAACGATTTTGATTGAAAATAAAATCTCTAAATTTGAATTTTAATAGGTTGCGGTATGTCAAATCAGTCAAGGGGTTCCTAGTAATAAAGTAGAATTTTTCAACATTTTGTTTCTATCTCAATAAAATTTAGTAAATCTCTATCATATTTAAGCCCAGTTTTACAGCTCATGGTTAACTCTTAACCCAGGTTTAATTTATTTTTCATCTCTTTCTAATGCTAGAATTAGAAAGAGATGAGAAATAAGTTGAACTTTTGTTAAGTATATTATCTACAAAGAATACAAAGTGCGTTGACCATCGTGCGATGCTAATTTTGTCAGGGATTACGTCAATTCGACGTTACAAGACGCGAGCAACAAGGAAGTCGCGGGGATTGCTATCGTCGTTCTGGTCCTGGTGGTATCCCCTATCATCATCATACTGATGCGTAACGCCGTCGCCACCATTCAGGTTCGCGCTCGACGATTCAAAGCCGTCGATTTGATTTCTTTTCATGCTTATACATGTGACTCTTTCATACGTGGCTTGCAGTGGTTTGTATACAGGACATAACACGGACTTTAATTTTCATCCCAGGCTTTTTACCAGAATTTAGAATCTGATTTTTCTTTGATTAAACTAGCTATTTCAAGAGTACATATTTTAAAATATCTGAGCAATAATTTCCGAAATATCTAAGATAAAAAATAAATACAATTGTCCTTCTCAATCTACAGAGTTGGAAAATTTATGTTACATTTAACACATTTTACGTATCCCAAACGTCCACTCAAATTTTTATGTTAATTTAACACAAGATGAATCTGTTAGAAAGTAATACAAATATTATGTAAAAAATGAACACGAAAAATGTAACATATATTGACATAAATGTAAACAAACTATAGAAATATATTTTTTCAATAAAATTAACATTTATGATATGTTAAATTACGTATTTTATTCATTTATCTTAAAATTTATGTTTGAAAATATATTATTTTTATATTGTTTGTTTACTTACTGATAAATTATGTCTTTTTGACTAAGAAATATAGAATATTAATTTAACACAAAATATTCAAATAACATAATCATATTATATTAAATTAATACTTGGATATGTCAAAAAATTAACAGTAATTTAAAAAGGATTTGAGTGGACCGATTTTAACACAAATATAAAACACTTTTTGCTGTGTAAAGATAAATAAAAAGATTCAATAGTTCTTTTTATTACTATTCATCTAAATTGGGTTCTAATTAGCGACAACACGGTTCTTTTCGACCGTTTGTCAAAGTTAACTTTGCCTGGATGCTGAATCCATGAGAAAAGCCATGATAAATTTTCGCAACCGCGCGTTAAATTTGCATCTTGACGAATCCTATAACTCGATTCCGAACTCTCGAGGCCACGAGGTCGTCGACGAATAAACGTCGCGTCGCGTGACTGACGTCTCAATGGAAAACCAGTTGTTGAAGTCTAGGTCGCGATGAGAGAAGTTTCAGTCTTTGAACAAAAACGTTTTTATCGCTCGTATATAGCTTTTTCGTTCTATTTACAGAAAAAATTAATAAGCAATATTAAGATGTCAATCACCAATTGTTATTAATGGTTAGTTCTTCGCGAAAGACGCACATTTTCTATAAAGATCAAATCTTTTTTCGCAATATTAGAGTAATCCATTTCTTTTCATCTTAAAATATGTAATTAGTTTTATCTTTAAAGCTCTGATTATTTTTACACTTTAATTATTTTTCTCACATTTGAAAAAAATTTTTTTATATGTATTATTATCTTAAAGATTATCTTTGCTTTTGTAACACTACTATAAATCTTAAACTGTTTATTATAACACGTTTGATTTACTAATTACAGATGTACGCCGCGAATTTGGCTCAGAAGGCACGTGAGCTCAAACGCGAAAAGAGGAAGAGCGACACATTGCTCTTCCAAATGCTTCCACCCAGCGTTGCCCAACAACTCAAGCAAACTCAGCAGGTCAATCCAAATTAATATAGAATTTCAATTTTCTCGAAGATATCATAATCTTCGAACAAATAAATTTTTGAAATCGAAAATTTTTTAATCCTCAAACTCAGCGGTATCATTAAATGCTCTTTCAATTTAAACTTTTGTCCCGAGTGGCGCTTTTTTTAAATGATTGATCGTGAGAAATAATAAATTTTTTTGTTACCTGTAATCCATTCGTCCGCCTCGATCGGTGGATTCATAAATTTTTTCGTCCATCAGGTACCGGCGGAGTATTACGAAGCGGTGACCGTCTACTTCAGCGACATAGTCGGTTTCACGGAGATCGCCGCGGAGAACACGCCCCTCGAGGTGCGTCCTCGTCCATTTCTATTCCAATGGGAAATTACTGATTGATCCCGAGTTTCCAAATTACGCGAAAGTTCCATCGTACAATGCTCCTGCCGCGGTGATGAAATTGCGTGCATACCACAAATTCCCGCTGGACACGCAAGGATTATCCGAATCGAACGCATGGCAATTGATCGTTTATCATCCTATGTATCACTCTCATCTCATCGTTTTCATTATATATATGTATCACTTTCATTTTATATATCATTACTTTCATTTTTGTCTGATTGCTTGTATTATTTCTTTAATTTTATCTGCGATTGAATCTAGTCAAATTTAGGGTGCAATTCATAGTCAGTTCTTATATTTAAGATCGTCCTAGGATGTCATAGGCCAATCATAGAGCCGTATTATCATCTTAAGATATTACTTGAGACAGTCTTGTGAAATAAGAATGGACTGTGAATATCGATCTTAGTTTCCCATTTTCATAGGAAATCGGTAGAAGACAGTGATGAGTATCCGCGTTTCTTTCAGGTGGTGACGTTCCTCAATTCGATCTACAAGCTGTTCGATGCACGCATCGAGTGCTACGATGTCTACAAGGTAGAGACCATCGGAGACTCCTATATGGTCGCTTCTGGTCTGCCCGTTAGAAATGGTAAAAGTACGAAACATCCCCCAGCTCCGCATGTTGTCTTGAAGCATGCGATGTCGAAACAGTGATGGGCACTTCCTTTTCCCGGATTCTTCGTGCACACAAATTCCTTAGTTTCTGAATGAATAAAACATAAATATTTTCTTCCTAGTCAGCCAAATCTGTTGAAAATAAATTTTGTCAAATGCTTGCTACGAATTTTATCGACAAAAAGACACCAAATTTGATACAAATTCTATTATATTTAATGATAACAGCAAGTTGGTGACAGACATACAACAAAATTTGCTAAGAACAAATTGTCGACAAAAACTGTACAAGCTTGCTAACACCTAGCAGCAAATTGACGGTACGATCAGACTTTTGCTTGATTTTTGCCGACAATTTCCTGATAATTATATCAGTAAGCTTTCGGCAAAACATCAAACTTCCCCTACAGCAATAATGCTGCAACATTGCAGCAATATTGCAGCATTATTGTAACGATATCCCTGCACGTTCTGTGCTGTATGAGTTAATATGCAGACATTGATGACAATTTGTTAAAATTTTTGATCAAATTTGCAACAATTTGTAGGCTAATTGCTAACATCTTACTAATTGTAAGTTTCTTGCATTCAACGTTTCAGTGTTTACTGTTCTTTCGGATTTCGTTCCTCACTTAATACATCTCTTCACTCGCGATTTCGTGTCTTTCTCAGGTGATAAGCATGTGTCTGAAATCGCCACAATGGCGTTAGACTTGCTGGCGGCTTCGTCCGTATTCCAGGTGCCCAAACGTCCCGGCGAACGACTGCAAATAAGAAGCGGAGCCCATACTGGACCCGTTGTGGCCGGTATCGTCGGCAGCAAGATGCCCCGTTACTGTCTCTTTGGCGACACCGTAAACACCGCAAGTCGCATGGAATCGACTGGCGAAGGTATAAATTAACTATCAATAGAAAAATAATTCTTCGCATTTTTCATTTTCTTCACATCGATTTCAGCGTATCTTCCACTTAACGTATTTATTCCTTCCATATTTCAATATATCGATTAATTTTGTTTACTGTTTCATTGAAGCTCTGCGAATCCACATCAGTTTAGAGATGAAAAAAGCTCTTGACGCGGTAGGCGGTTTTAAGATCGAACACCGTGGCCTTGTCGACGTCAAGGTATATTTTAATTCTTTATTCGGAATAAAGGAGGATATATAAGATCACACATACACACACACACACACACACACACACACACACACACACACACACACACCGCAGTTATTTGTGCGTAAATTATTGTGCATATTTACAATAATCAATATATGCATTAGTCAATAAAATGCATCATGACGACAATCATATATACGTTTTGATTAATGTATATATCAATTATTGTAAATGCGCATAATAATTTACGCATAAATATTCTTTTACAAAAATCTAATACTGAAAGATAGTAACAGTACTGTTAATACTCCAAATATAAATATCAATTACTGTCTTTCAGTAATAAATTGACCAGTAATTACATTTCTGTAAGGGTAACAGCGTTGGTTTTTATAGATTTCCTGTAGAGTTTTGAATTTTATTCTGAAACCTTAACTTCTTTAATTTTTAATTCTTTATGTAAATCAATTATTATAACATATTAACTTTTCTTCCATCGAATCCTTTTCTCATTAAGAATACCAAGATTTTTCAATTCATTTTTCCTTCATCGTTAATTTTTGGATAATCTCTTTTGGCACGTGTTTCATTTTGATTGCTCTTTCCTCAGGGCAAGGGCCTCATGGACACGTACTGGTTGGAGTGCAAAGACGGTGGTATCGCACGCGCCGCCGAGCTCGACCTACCGTCATTCTTCGAGGACGTACGACCGGTCTTCATGCGGCGCCTGCGTGAGGAAGGTACCCTCTGATGCGAGCCATACTCCCGCCGGGACCTTTGGTACCTGAACCGACGCCCGAATCCATGTATCGTCCGGCTGTCCCAGCCAAATCTGATCGATCATCTGAAGCGACCGGGCCAGGGTCGCAAAAACCGGCTGTCTCATCCGAATCTGCATATCACCCCTGTCAAGATACCACCGCAGTCACAATCGAGTATCGAATCCCAGGACTCGGGCACCTACGAATGCACCCGTTCAACCACTCCCTGTCCACCGAGTTACTCGCCCGCGAGTCAACGCAGTCGTTACTCGCAGCCGAACCTACCGACCCTACTGATCTCGTACGACCGGCGATCGGGCGGTTCACCAGACCGTCGCATCCGCATGTCACAGCCGATCCTCAACTCCAGCCTGAGCGGCATCAATTCGTTCAATTTCAGCATGCACCGCGGCAGCGGTGGAGGCCGTCTATCCTACACAAGTCTACGTGCCACTTCAGGCGACAATAGTATCAACGAGGAAGAGAGGCTGTCGACACCAAACGTGCATGCCCTGGGTGGCAGCGGAAGCCCCCGTGGTAGTCTGACGATGGAGCGGAGCTCGTCGCGACTTTCGCAACCGGACATCCGTCGATTTGCCTTGCGACATGATAAGCGCGAGCGATTGTCGCAGCCCACTCTTGTCACTGGCGACTACTATCCTGGTCGGACGCAGCAGCGACTGTCCCAACCGTGTCTCAGCAGCGGTATCGGAATGCATTCATCCTCACCGCCACCTTATCCTCTTAAACATAAGAGATTCGGGCCTGCCATCTTGCAGGTAAGTCAGCGCGATCGTCTCTCGCAGCTGGACATCGGAGCTAAGTATCGAAATATTAAAGACCTGGGCGGCAATGCCGCGCAGGTGAAGTTCAATCGCGATCGGTTCTCGATACCGGAGTTGGAGACGCAAAACGACTTGCGACTGATGGCCGGCACGCCCAAGCAACGCTTCAGCCTGGACAGTCAGCTGACGAAGCAACGTTACAGTTTAGACAGTCAAGACAGCTGTAAATCGCGACTGCTACCAATCGCCAGTTCACCGATTTTCGAGCATCAGCAAATGAAGACCGAGGAGCTCATGGGGTTGACGTCTGAAAGGCTGAAGAGTCCTACCTGCGAAGGTCTGCAGAGCGTGATTGTCGCGAGCACGTCGCCGATCTTTCCACCAGGTGAGAGACGATTCCTCGCGCCGGATTTTCCATTCACAAGCAGAAAACCATCGAAGTCACCGTCGCCACCTAAATCAGAAATCATTTCATTCGGCAAGACCGGACGCGGTGGTAAACCACCACCGATTCCGATGCGGGAGAGGATGTCGGTGCCGGAGATCAGAAACTCAAGCTTACGTCGGCTGCTGGATCCACCTGTCCGGCAACGGCACAGTATCGCCGGCAACTTGAGGCAATCGCTGTTGTCGCCGGTGAAGTTGCCAGAGTTCAGCACCAGCAGCAGGAAATCGCCGCGATACTCGATCGACGACGCGCTCGAGAAGTTGAAGAGAATCGAGAAGGAAGAGAATAGACGGAACCAGGAGACGAGCGAGAGCAAGGAGCAGGAAGACAAGGAACAGGATCAGCAACAGCAGCAACAACAGGAAAAGGAGCCGAAGCACATCCAGCGGCATTATTCGTATACGTACGAGACGCCCGGCAGCGACGAGAGCGGCAGCGTCTCGACGCTCGGCAAGCTGAGCGTGGGCGGCACGCCGAAGCGCAAGTTCCTGGAAAGCAATTTCGACGAGAACGAGCAAGTGATCACGACGGTGATCGAGACGGAGGTACCGATGATCTTGCCGAGCACACCCGGCAAGTACGCGAAGAAAGCGCAGGCATACTCGAGTGAGACGCCGAAATGGATCCGGAAATATCTCGAGAACGAGAATTCTCCGAAGGTGGGCAGAAAGCCCTCCGCTACCGGCAATCAGCAGATCGTCAGGTCATCGAATCGCAGGAGCAGCCGCAGAAAGAGCTCGCTGGAGTCGATCGAGACGATGGCGAAGAAGCCAGAGGAGAAGATTCGCTCCAAGTCCGCCAGCTGCGAGGAGAGGACTAAGGACATTACGGAGCAGAAGAGCGTGAGAGAGACGTACGTGAGGATCGTGCCATCCAACAACGCCCAACAGGAGAATAGGTACGAGGTTGGCGTGGAAACTACCGCGACCTCGTGGAAGAAAACCGATGGCAGGGGTCTCTACGGTGACGACACTGATACGGACGATTCCACATCGATCTAAACGAAGGGACGTGATGTCACATGTCACGAGATGAATCTGGTTCATAAGATCGCTTTGATTGCTGTTGCTAAGCTTGACGATTTAGATCTTGAAGAAACGAAGAGAATTCAATTATTTTGGTAAACTAATATCGGAAAAAGCGGAAAATATATTACAAACATAGACATTTTACTACTTAAAAAAATTTTAATGGTAGTTCATGTCATTGTAAAAATTTACATTAATAATGAAAATGATCGGAGCGATTAAACTGATTCAGCCTTTAAAATTTTAAACGGATGTTTCCGGTCACTACAAGATTAATAATATATTGGCCATTATCGTTTTCACAAATACATCAGTTAGCACGACTAATTAAATATCGTCATTTAATATCAATTTGTTTGAATAATTAATTATTCAACAAATTCTCAACAAAAATTCAAACAAAAAATTTTAGAAGAAAAATCGTCCATTATTTTACGGACTCTTAAATTTTCGGTTTGAAAATTTCCATATGAATTTCCATTTAAATGAGGATGCGAAATCTTAATGAGAAATCTTGAATCGAAATATTGTCGCTATGTAAAATTTTTGTACGAGAATTATGCAGTTTAAATTTACACTGCTATGTTAGACACTGAAGAGAGACTATACACTGCATGCATCTCAAATCAGTGAAACGAGAGTAGTATAAGTCAGACCGTACATCATGATCAAGACAGATACGAGGAAGATCGATTCAAAGAAAACATAAAAGATGATCTCGAACAAAGATATTTTGTACTTAAATAAGCTGCACTCGACGTCTCGTCCGACGGGATCGGAACCAGAAGTAAAAATCCGAATGCAGAACACCTATTTTTGCACGAACAGAGAGGACCACGATATACGCGACACTCCGCATGCGTTCAGCCTAAATGATACTCAGATCTATGCTTCACGACTTTCTCGATTCCGAAATAAATTTTGCTTTGTATATATCTCGATTGTTCAAGAGGGAAGCCAGGAAGGATATATATAGGGCGATCGAAAAGACTCTCTCTCTCTCTCGATGCCGAAAAATTTTCTTCTCATTCCTCGTCAAAGTTATAATAGATCTTGGGTTTTCGATCCACGTCCGTTCCAATCGAATTTCCAAACAATCGCGTGAGACCGTTCGATCGTTCTGCACAAAATGTGTATTTTGTGCACTATTTTTATCAAGCTTGTAGGGACTAAGTGTAAAGACAGTTACCTTGTACATACATCAATGGGGAGTTATAATATACTGCTGGATGTCGACTGTTGCATCGTTACAGTTGAATCTGTGAAATCATTTGATGTTCTTCGACGTACTTTTCATTTCTTATCGGAGATATTCTTCGCTTGCAAAAACCGTGCCGAATCTCCGGGATTACGTCGTACTGTTAATCGTGAAATCAATTTTTTAGGATAATATGCAACGCGCGTGAGCGAATGTTTTGATGATACTAGTCATTAATACGATTTTACGATCAATCGGATATATGTATAGGGTGCCTTTGATAAAATCATCTCTGCAAAGATTTAATTAATAATTAATAGAAGAATATTCTTCTGATATTTATAATTTTTTATCCGAGTAATTATGATGTTTTATTGTTTCTAAATTAATAAATGTTAATTGGCGATTTATAAAGCTCTAACTTCTCTAAATGATTTCATTAATATCATTAACGTTTCTTTTTTCGTTAATCCTGTTTGTCGCACATCATTTACAAATTAGCCAGAAAATTTTTTATAGAAAAAATTATTTTATGTTAAGTCTTGAGTTTTCTTATGTATTTATATAATAGTACTCATTAACCGGCATTCATAGTCCGTTCTTATTTCAAGAACATCTTAAGTAATGTCTCAAAATGCTAATACGGCTATTTGATTGGTTCATAACATCTTAAGATTATACATACTAAGGTCGGTATTCATAGTTAGATCTTATATTCAACATCGTCTTAAGTACAGTTTTAAGAAGTCACGAACCAATAAGAGGGTCGTATTAGCGTCTTAAGACATTACTTAAGATAGTCTTCAAATAAGAACGGACTATGAATACCGCCCTAAGACAATCTTAAATATAGAATCAACTATGAATACTGACCATAATCTATTGTAATTTTAACTTTTTTTTATTATTTGATATTATTTTTCCTAATTTCTTGCCAATGTCTTTCTCTCTGTTTTAAGAAAAATATTAGAAATAAATTATACTTAAGCATCCTGTATGTATACATGCGTAATCTTTCCGCAAATATTTCGAACGCGAATGTATATGTGAACGCGCGCGCGCGCGCGCGTTGAGTAGTTATTTCTTTTAGCAGTATGTCATTTTACTCCTATATACTATATGTATGGCATTTAACACGAGTAAAGATGTCAAATATTAGTCGAAATATGCATAGAGTAATACATTATACCTTGTAAAAAACGTGCCCTCTGTGTACATCCGATTATATATAGATAGAAATATATACTCCATTGTTATAGCCCGAAAGAATTCTTCAAATCCTTCATATCATTCATCTCTTTACATTGCTATAGCTTCGTATATCATCAAAATTCTTCATATGTCATATAATTTTCCTACAGCTCAGTTTCTTTGACTTTATTAAAATCAAAAAATCCTCGCGTTCTTAATAATTTTCTGAAAATTATCATGCTTTATTATAAAAGAATATTCCAAAGAAAAACACAATGACATCATCAAAATTCCTTTTTGTAGTGAAATTATTACAAGACAAATTCCACAAAAAGTCGTAGAATTCGGTACTTATTCATGTACGATCCCAAATAGCATAAACTATTCTATAAAATATTCTTATAAAATACAATGTTCAGAATATTTTAATCGAACATTCTACATAGAATATTTATTTAATTAAATATACATAGAATATTTATTTAGTTAAATTCATATTCATAATAAAAAGAACATTCATAGAATGTTCCTCTGGGTTGCATTTCAAAATTTTACTTTGAGTAAAAGAGTTCTAAGTATCTTTATATATGTCTGGGCTTGACCTTGTCCAGCAAAGTTAAAACTGGTACTTGATAGTACGGTAATATATTAGGTATTATAATATATCAGGCACTATATTGTATAGAGTATTTACTTTACAATACAGAGCTTTACTGTACAATACAGTATCTCGTATATTATCACGCTTAGCAGATCCTTAGTTGAATCTCGAGAAAAAACATTTCCAGGAAACCATTAGATAAGTATTACACTTAAAATATATATAGCAGCAAAAAATCTGAATGCTTTATAAATATTGTTGTAATTTGCAGGTATTCTCGGCCTAATGCAAAAGGAAAAGCTGGTCGATACTACAAATGAAAAGATTTGCGCTAGATTTAAGTTAGCCGCTACAGAGAGACAGTGGCGTGTGTTCTTTCCTACCTTTCGCTCTTACAATTCAGCGGAAAAAGAGTAAGATAGTTTATGTTTAATATAACATAATTTGTCAAAAGGAAATAATCCTCTTTTATTTTTCTATACACGATGTCTCATCAAAAGTTTACCACTATTGAAGGAAAAAATTCATTATATACCAGTAGTAGAACTAGTTCGTGAGACATGAGTCCCACCCACTCTCGGGTATGGGATCTCGTGGAATCTCATCATCACATTGACAATCTACAGCATGTGGTCAATGTGATCGCGAGATCCCATGCCTGAGAGTGGAGTTACTCACGTCCTACGAATTGACTGTATACCAGTACTAATGGTCTTGCAAGGTATAATCAAGTAAATAAAGAAAATGAATGCGAAGGGAATTCGTATAAAATTGAAAGCGAAGATATACGAACTTGTGGAGGCTAAAGATAACGAAATGACAGATAACGAAATGATAAACAGTTAATGCCAACATCATCTACTAATCTCTTGTTCCTCACCGAGAAACAAATATTCATCGAAGCAGACGTAAGAGTACGAGTAATGAGGAAGATAGTTCCAATAACTCTGAAGAAGATGCAGCCAATGACTTCGTTCAGCAGAGAAAACTAGTCAGTTAGCGCTTAGTGATTCTTTAATACGATTGGTTCTTGCCTTTAGTTCTTTAATGAATTCTAAGTGCAGGAACCAATCATATTAAAAAAAAATCACTAAGCGCTGATTAATTTTCTCTGCTGAACGCAAGTAGACTCAACAGTTGAATGAGCACTTGCTGTTATTGATGTATTCTTTTAGACTATTCAATCAGAATATTAAATCTAAAAGAATACATCAATAATAATTAGCACTCCCTCAACTGTTGTCTGCTGAACGCAATGTACCCGTTGTAGAATGTGATTTTAAAATCGATCTCGTTAATGTTTTTATACATTGTTTGTGTGTAATTAAAAAAATATACATAACATAATATTACGTTAAATAGCACAATAGAGATAATTTAGATCATTAAATGTCTCAATAAACGTTCGTGCAATAACTGTATATATGTGTATATAAAAAGTGCACATTGATATGACAAAGAAAACTTATGTGTGCGTGTATCATATAAAAAATTTATTATATACATTAAACAAATAATGGCCGTGTTACGATATATACTGCCAATACTGAAAATCTATGGTATATACATAATGTAAACTATAGATTTTTGAAAATCTATACCCAATAAACGAGAATAGATTGAAATAGATTCAGATTTTCAGAAATATGGATTCAAAAATGTTAAAATGAATGCTTTTCAATCTTGAATGTCTTTTTATTTATTTATAGGAATTTCATGGAGCATATCTTTATGTCTTTCAATCTAAAAATAATATTAGCTTTTTCTGTGCATTGTAAATACTGTTCAATTCAAAATTTTGAATAGGAAATGCAGTTTTTCAATCCAATTGCATCCAATTGAATCTAATTGAATCCAATTAAATAAAAAAAAAAAGGATTCGCTATTTAAAATACGCATTCGGATAGAAAAAATTTCAATCCATTTTAATCCATTCTCGTTTACTGAATAGTTAATGTTACAAATAATCCAACAAGCAGCGTAATATAAAGGGAACGGCTCAGTATCAGGCTGCTTCTTGCCCCGATGAAGTGGACTGCAAGGTTCACGAAACGTTGGCATTCCAAGAATGGATCTGGACACGGAGAAAACCCGCGAAACGCATGAATTTCATGTACGAAGTAAGTGAAAGCCTCAAGAATATTAC